TTTTTTCTCAATTTATTATGATATTGCTTTTTGTTCCAATGATGGGAATCTTTAATTTCTTGTTAAGGTGTCATCTATGCTCAAGGATATAATCTTTGATCTCCATGAAGTGCTCCAAATCCTTCTCACTTTCAGCACCAGTGAGACACTTGCTGTCTTACTCATCTCAAGAATCACCCTCCAAAAGAGGAATTATTAGTCTTTTTATTTTGTAAATGAGGAAACCTACAATTAACATATTGCTTAAAGTTTTATATAAAGTAATGATTCAAACCATGAACTATCTGATTTATATAGTACATTTTAAAAGAGAATGCAAAACTCTAGACACTCTTACTTTATGTAGCTTTAAAATAAATTTCTGCTTTTGAAATTTTCTTTTAAAAATCACTCATCGAAAACCCTATGGATCAAAATGCTCCCATCAGTAAACAATCTTGAAGATAGCATAGAACTCGGCATTATTTTGTTCTATTATGCTTGGGGTACCATGTATTGGGTGACAGCTAAGAACAACCACAACCTTTTTTGATACATTATAAAATAGCTGATTCTTACACTGGGAAAGTTTCAAATAATAATTGATCTTTCCTTTTCTGAAAACAAAGTACATTTTAAAGGACTCACCTCATGTTGTGAGCAAAAGTTAGCAGAAAAACTGGCCTTGCCAAGGTGGGTCATTTAATTCTGTCATCAATTTCAGAGAGATTAGAACAGATTCTTTTATTCAATTTCCAAAAAATATTTACTCTTATGTATTCTATAAGAACCCTTTAATCTTTAAAGTTCTCTGACTCTTATTTTGTGCAACTGTTAAAATGAGATCATATATATAAAGCCCTCAGGCCATGAGAGAAAATTATAGTGTTCAATAAATTTAAACTATTTTCATAATAATATAGTTGTTCTTGTTGTTATTTTGTTATTGAACTGGAAGAGATTACTCATCTTCTACCATGTAGCATCTGGTGGATTTGAACTGCATTCTTTGGACTGACAACAAACTCCTTACCACTAAACTGTGTGTGCTCCCTTATCATTATATTAATAATAGTAAATGGGTGCTAGAGCCTGTAGTAATAGTGCTTCGCCATTCTTTCCTCATTTCATACTTTTAAAAATTCTCCTGGGAGACAAGCTGAATGTGGACGTGTTCCTTCAATGCTGTCCACATAACACGCATGAGATATGTGGATAAATGAAAAAGGGTTGCCAGCTTGAGGAGCAGTCATAAGGACCCCTTGCTTACTGGCTTGACTTCATGTGGGGGTTAGGGGTGAGTAAAGCTTGGCCCTTACGCTTTGCTCTAATAGCTATCTCCAAGGCAAAAAAGGAGGGAGAATTGTAGACTCCTGAGTTTGGGAGTGATGCCCATTTATACCTACCCATAGATGGCTAGGGATGAGTTGCCCAAAAACCAACCAGATAAAAAGGAGATTATTTGTGCTGTGAGCTAGGGTCGATTGCTACAACCTGATGGCTTGCTCCGGACTGGACTTTGCTGGTAGATACAGATGTTGAAAGTTCTCAAACTGAACAGAAGATTCTTCAGAGACAGAGGAAAATGTGCAACAATGAATGAATATTTAAAAAAAAAAGTGACGTGCTGGTTTGATAGGGATGGGCAAACCAGATATTGACTATCCAAAAGGGGGATATTAGGACAAGAGGCATGAAGTAGAGGGCTTACATGCTTTCAAGAGTGAGTTAAGAAGATTATTGTAATGGGGGGTAACCTCAAAATACACATGAACGAAATACAATGTAAATGAGTTATTATGTAAAACACAATGTACATGCATGAAATACAGTGTGCATGAATAATTGTATGAAAATCAGTAAAAACATGTAATAAATAAAAATCTTCTATTCTTAGCCCACAAGTGCACTCACCAAACCCAGAGACAGAACAGCCATGACTACAGAGTTGGGGAAACAGAAACAGCTGAAAGAAGTGGCAGGGATCCTCCTGCAGGCTGCAACGGTGGACAACTGGAACCAGATTCAGAAATTTGAAGCCAAGCCAGATGATCTTCTCATCTGTACCTACCCTAAATCAGGTGACCGCAGTGAGAGGCAGCAAAGACCTCTGATCCACTGAGTCAGCATAGGCTCCTCGCATAACTTCGATGCCACCTTGATAGAATGCTTGCATTTACTCAAGAATGTTTGCTCTTTCGCATTGTCCCACAGGAGTGTTTACTATCAAACCCCTCTGTTTAGACATGAGCAGACATCACAGCTTCACAGGACCCAGCCAGCCTATGTTCTGTCCTGGGCTCCTGGGCTGCACTTGAGTATCACTCGAGTATTGTGCAGCTTGGCCCTTACACTTTGCTCTAATAGCTATCTCTAAGGCAAAAAACGAGAACAAGGAGTCTCAGTCCCTATTGAGACCCAAAGAACATCTTCAGAGAATGTTGTTTCTCCTGCTCAGATGTCCATCTGGCATGGCACACGGAATCCTGACTTCAGGGGCGGTGGTGGAAGCACAAACATCAGTCTTGAAGTTTCCTATATTTACTCAAGATACACAGTGGCAGGTGGTTTAACAAGTTACTTCTTCTCATCCTTTATTATCTGTGGCTCAGGGACAACATGGATTCAGGAAATTGTGGACATGATTGAACAGAACGGAGACTTGGAGAAATGTCAGCGAGCCATCATTCAGCACCGTCATCCTTTCATTGAGTGGGCGCGTCCACCCCAGCCCTCGGGTGAGAGTTCCTGTCACACCAGCCGGTCTCTCTTCTTTCACTTCCCTTTTTATTTCTCTGACCTATTTGTGCATATTTTCTTCTTCCTTCTCTTTTGTCTTTTTTCTCTCATTCTCTCATTTTTCAATGTTTGTTCTTTCATTCCCTTTCTTCTATTATCATATATTCCCTTTTTAATTCCTCACCTTCTCTTTGAGCATTTTTGAACATAAATGAACCAAAAATGTCCTAATTGTCTTATATTCCCTTAAATATTCTCTCTCATTATGTGCAGTGTTGTTATGTGCAACAGAGAAAGCACAATATTGGTCATAAATAATTTCTTTCCCTCTTTTCTATTTATCCCGTTCCATAAAAGCCTAAAATAGAGACAAGTGTCTGATCAGTAGAAACACAGCTATTTTGAGGCAATTATAACCTTTTTTTAAAGATAACCTCTCAACCTGGGTAAAAAAGCCATTCCAGGCAAATGGAATTTGCATAAAGTATTCTGCAGAATAAACATCAAAGAAAAACTCACTTCCCTATATTGCACATAGCAAAGTAACAGGAAACTAGAATCAGAAGTAGCAAGAGCTATGAAAACATATTCAGTGCAACTCTAGCATTAAAGACTAGAGCAATTGGTTTACAGAGGTGTCTGATAGTGCCTTATATAGAAAAGTGCTAAAGCTGATGCACGTAAGAAACTTGTAGCCTGTGCAAGGTATGTCTCAAGTTTAGAATCTTTGAGGTCTATTCTTTTTCCTTATGATCCCTATCTGCCAGCTGAACTGCCTCCTCTGGATCTCAGTTCCTGGCTGCCAGCTGAGTCAGTTCCTGTCTAACTGACTAATAGACTTTGCAAGCCTGTGCTTGGGCCCACCCTGCTCTTCACTATCTTTGCAACTTTGGTCTCACACATAATCTAACCAGTTTGCTTAATTATGTTCCTACTTTGTGTATAACCAGAGTCTTCAGTTTCTGTTTGTGTCTGGTCTTCTAACCATTGAGAAGCAAGATGGTATCATGGCAAAGGATTAACCCACAAGTCATTGCTGTCAACCCTTTATAGGATTGCCAGACTTGAAATCATGACTCAATTTACTTACTCCATGGATTACAGCAAGCTACTTAAACTCTTCCATTTCCAGTTCTCCAAAATATAGGCAGAATTATTTACGACCTCAAAGAGTTTTTGTAAAGATGCAACTGTTGTTGTTGTTATTGTTGTTGTTGTTATGTGCCATCAAGTTGCCTGCGACTCGCAGTGACCCTATGTACAATAGCCCTAAACCCTGCCCTATCCTGTGCCAATCTCATTGTCTCTGACAAACTTACCCTCAGTATCCTAGTCACTGAATCAATCCATCTCATCAAGAGTCTTCTTCTCCTGCACTGTCCTTCCTCCTTCCCAGGCATGATATCCCTCTCTAAGGACAGGTCCCTCCTTGTAACATGTCCAAAGCATGTCAGACAAAGCTTCAGAATCTTTGCCTCCAAGAACCAGCCTGGCTTCATGCTTTCTAGGACAAACCCATTCGTTTTCTTAGCAGTCCATGGTACATTCAATACTCTTCTCCAACACCACAGCTCAAAGGCATCAATTCTCCATTTATCAGCCCTAGTCATTCTTTAGCTCTCTGATGCATAGGAAGTGATTGCAAAGACCATAGCCTGTACCAGGCACACCTTAGTCTATGTACACACTTATTGTATGTACACACTTTCAACTACTTGGCAAAAAATACTATGTCTTCATTATCTTTGTTGCTTTTACCCTTAATTTCAATTTAACATCATGATTTCAAAGAATGATTCCTTATTAACATTTTGAATGGGATTAGAAATTGTGCTCAAATGTCATCATGTACACACATGCATGTGCATACACACACGTATACACACAAATATAAATGAATACTCACCAGGCACAAAGCTGGGCTGAAAACTGCTATAAAATACATCACAACTGGAACTAATTGATTGATTGATTGATTGATTGATAACAGAAGTTTAGTTTCTGATCCATGTTGGCTTTGCCTCAAAATGTCTCTTGTCCATTCTGTTTCTGTCTTTTAATTCCTAAAATGGTAGAGTTGGAGTAAATGAATTCTAAATTCCCCCTCCAGCTTCAAGGCCCATGATTCCACGAAAAAGAAGATAATATTAGCAATACTATTGTGACATTTCAAAAGAAAGTCAGGAGACAAACTGAAAGTGAAGACATCCTTGAAAAAACATAAGCTCCCCAAGCAATACTTGTACTCCTGACTTATTTTACAGGTGTGGAAAAAGCTAATGCAATGCCCTCTCCAAGAATACTAAGGACTCACCTTCCCACTCAGCTGTTGCCTCCATCTTTCTGGGAAAACAACTGCAAGGTAACACAAAGCCAATTCACTACAGGGACAGAAGGAGAGATTACACTTACTGAAAGCTAATTCTCCACACCTCAACTCAGAGCATGTTATTAAATGTACTTGTTCACTATCTCTTAAATATTGAGGATTGGTCAGAGATAAGAGAAAAGGCAAAGTTCTACACTTAAGAATATATTCACCTCTTGAAATTAATAAAAATTAATAATATTAATAAAAATTAAGACATGGGAGAGAGTTAGTGCCTGGCTTTGAAAAAGAAGAAAAAAGATGACACTCAAAGGCTGAGATGCTGTAAAGACTCTTTAAATAGTACACAGAGGAAAGAGTGACGAATATACTTAAGGATATAGGATAGGTCCTAATATAATAGGAAAATACTTAAGATTTTCTGAAAAATATATGAGGTCACTTACTTGGAAAGGACACTCAGACTCAACTTCTAACAGAGTGTAGGCTTTTTAAAGTAGGGGCTTTATTTTTGTTTCTCCGTTTTTATAGTGATTAATAATTTTTTGGCATTTAGAAGGCCTTAAAAACATTGTTGCTAGATTAGCAAATGATTGGATGACTATGGATGTGAATGGTACCAAGGGTGTGAACTAAGATGATAGCTTTGGTTAAAGGACTCCTGATATCTCAGAGGTGAGAATAAATAGAAAAGGGTTCAGAACGGTTTGTGCCTGAGGGAGAAGAGTGAAATCTAGAAAATATACTCCAAGTGTTCTGAGTCTTTCCACTATAGTTATAAAAGGGAAAGAGTGGTTTTATCTATGTTTAAGACAGAGTAGATATATTGAAACACTCTTAGTATGAGACATACTCAGGAATGAGAAGTAAAATATATTTCCTTTTAGATTTGTAACTTCTGTCAAAACAAACAAACAAATAAATCCTAATCTGGAAACATGAAGAGACAGCTAAAGCTCATAGACAGATACATTGAGACAACAGCTGTTCTGGGGGAATTTGTCAACCTTATCAGGCCTAATCCAAGGCAACCAAAATATGACTTTGAGTCTATCCCACCTGAATTTCAGAACCATCTCAGGAACAGGTTTGAGGCTTTGAACACTAAT